TACCATACTGTCTTGATGATTACAGCTTTGTAATAGAGCTTAAAGTCCAGAATTGTGATGCCACCAGCTTTGCTTTTCTTTTTCAACATTCCTCTGGCTATTCGGGGTCTTTTCTGGTTCCATACAAATTTTAGGATTATTAGTTCCATTTCTTTGAAAAAAGTAATGGTATTTTGATAGGGATTGCCTTAAATATATAGATTGCTCTAGGTAGCCTCTGATGTTTTGATCAGAATCTTCATTTTAACAGGATTCCCAGGGGATAATTATGTACATTAAAGCACTAGAGAGGGCTTTCCAACCTTCTCTGGTGTGTATAACAATCACTTTCTGGCCACTGCCCCTAGAAATTCTGATGCAGCAAGACTGAAGCAGGCCCTAAGCATCTGCATTTTTAACAGGCTTCTACATGAGAGTGATGCTGCCAGTCTGTGCCTCACATTTTTTTTTTTTTTAAAGATTTTATTTATTTATTTGACAGATACACAGCGAGAGAGGGAACACAAGCAGGGGGAGCGGGAGAGGGAGAAGCAGGCTTCCCGCGGAACAGGGAGCCCGATGTGGGGCCCGATCCCAGAACCCTGGGATCATGACCTGAGCCGAAGGCAGATGCTTAACGACTGAGCCACCCAGGCGCCCCTGTGCCTCACATTTTGAAGAGCAGTTCCCCAGATCAGGAGTCAGATCACTTTTTTTTTTTTATTTTTTTTTTATTTTTTTAGGAGTCAGATCACTTTTTCCCTCAAGCCTTCCACATATGAAATATTATAGGCTTATTCAGGCCACATGGTCTCTGGTGCAGTCATTCAACCAGTTGCTCAAGAAATATGTAAATGAATGGTTGTGGCTGAGTTCCAGTAAACTTTATTTATAAACTATGAAAACAGAGGGGGTCCAGCTTTGGCCAGCAAGCTGTATTTGCTCATCCTTTATGTCAGTGACCCTCAAGTTCCTCAGTGGATCACTTAATGTGTCAACGGTTGCATTCAGCTGAAGTTCACGTAATCTCTAGTGGTTTACACACACAGGTCATTGTCTTTTTTGTAGGAAGCCCAGATGTTAACCACTGTATTTGTTTTAGCTGCTTATAGATGTTAGGGCCAGCCAAGGTCTTTGTGATTCTCTTGGCCTTTTCCCTGTGGTCCTGAATGACTTTTGCCAACACAGTCATCATGTTTGCAGTCTCACCAGCCCGGATGAAAACCCTAAAAGGCTCACTCCTCAGCTCGGTCTGCTCCATCTTTCAAAATGCTCATCATCACAAAATGACATTTGCTTACAGTTCCCTGGGCATGCCTAAGTGCAGGCGAGTCTGGGAAACACATTCTCTTACCTAGCCACAGTCTCACCCCCCACATCCTGGTTTTGTTTTAAGGAAGAAGCATAAAGAGGACAGTGCATAGGCAAACGACTAATTCCTGTCACACCACAGGCTATTTTGAGAGTAACTGATTTGTTACAGTTAGGTGAAAATTGTTAGTAGAAACATTTTTTTTGAAGATTTTTATTTATTTATTTGACAGAGACACAGTGAGAGAGGGAACACAAGCAGGGGGAGTGGGGGAGGGAGAAGCAGGCTCCCCGCGGAGCAGGGAGCCTGATGTGGGGCTCGATCCCAGCACCCTGGGATCATGACCTGAGCCGAAGGCAGACGCTTAATGACTGAACCACCCAGGCGCCCCTAGTAGAAGCATTTTTGGAATGATAGTATGCTTTCCTACATTCTGTACATATGGATGTATTTTGAAATACATATAAAATTTTATCTATAATTAGAATATGGTTAGTTATTCTAAACAAATATACTTGAGCTTAAATATCTTGTTGAGTATTGCATGTACCTAAATAGCCACTTTGGGGAACGGGCTCTACAGTGCAGAAGTCGCCTGAGCAAGGACTTTAGAATCAGAGTTAGGTTCAAATCCTAGCCCAGTGACCTTGGACAATCTTGTTAGCTTCTAGAGTCTGAGGTGTTTTCATTTGGATGGTAGTTGTAATACTTAACTGGCATCATTATAAGGGTTAGAGATGATGAATATAATGTGCCTAGCTAAGTAACCTTCAGTAAGTTGTAACTGTGATTAATTAATAATTAAAGATTAACCCAGTGAAATTAATTTGGTCATTAACAGGTGGTCCAGTCTTTTTTCTACATACTAACTAAAATAAACCTGTTTTTATAAATACTGGTGTAGTCATGTGTATGTTTGCTAGTTGTATTTCTTATCAGGTTACTAATGGGAGCAGTAGAATGGATAATCTTCAAAAAGGTGTTATTTGCTTAATTTTGTTTGAGTATTTTCAACACATGACAGGTTTCCAGATTTTTTTTTGAAGAGAAAGATAAAAGAATAAAGCTAGAGCCAGTGACTTTGCCCTTAGCCCTGCTCATGTAATTTTTCTTAATACTTGAGAAGATTATGCTGTGAACTTAAGTGCTGTTACCACTCACATGAATTTGGTTGTTTTTCTATCTGCTGACACTTCACAATTGTTTCTCTAAAGATTTTTCTTTTAAACCCTGCATTTACTTATTTTATCTTAAAGATAATGGGGTTGTGGGATGGTTGACTTCATTATGTGTATTTCTGTAGACACTTCTTTTTCTCTGTCATCTGTAATATGTGTCCAATTTGAAATGAGAAGTGGGAGAATCATGTTATAATTAAGGTTCCTGAAGCCTGAATTAACTTTTGATATAAGTGACTTTTATAATTTGACAAAATTCTACAAGATATTGTTTCTCATGCAAATGGCAATTTATATTGAGTTTCAAGTGATAAACTCTTCATAGAATCAAAGAAGATTACACATGAGAATTTAGGTGAGAAATCAAAAAGTAGTAATCAAATTGAAATTAAAGTAATACAGACTGCTTTTATATTCATTTGTATGTTTAACTTGGTTTGCATGTGTTTTTCACTATTTTTTTTTTGAACTGTTATTTGCAGCTGGATATTGTGTGATTACGTACATCCTTGGAGTTGGAGATAGACACCTGGATAACCTTTTGCTAACAAAAACAGGTAATAACTAATGGCTACTAGCAGATATATACATTTTATATGCCAGTGATTTTTTTCTTTTTTTTAAATATTTTTATTTATTTGACAGAGAGAGACACAGCGAGAGAGGGAACACAAGCAAGGGGAGTGGGAGAGGGAGAAGCAGGCTTCCCGCGGAGCAGGGAGCCCGATGCGGGGCTCGATCCCAGGACCCTGGGATCATGACCTGAGCCGAAGGCAGACACTTAACGACTGAGCCACCCAGGCGCCCCTATATGCCAGTGATTTTTACTGTGGAATCTGCTTAGTAACAAAACAAGTTACATAAGTGAAAGTAAATCATATATGTCTTAAAAATCCCTTTTTATGGTGCCTTTGAAGGAAACTCCCATCCTTTACAAGAATCACTTTTTTTTTTTTTTTTAAAGATTTTATTTATTTACTTGACAGAGCGAGAGAGCACAAGCAGCGGGAGAGGCAGAGGGAGAGGGAGAAGCAGGCTCCCTGTTAAGCAGGGAGCGCGCTGCTGGGCTTGATCCCAGGACATTGGATCATGACCTGAGCCGAAGGCAGATGCTTAACCAACTGAGCCACCCAGGTGCCCCCAAGAATCACTTTAGTAGTAACCCCGCAGGTGGTCATCTAACCCTTACTTCTGAAAATGCCTCCTTTGGTGGAAAGCCCATAATGTATGCAAGCAGTTGAGTCTCTTACTGTACAGCTCTAGTTAGAGTGTTAGAATATTCTTTCTCTTACCAAACCGTACTTAACTCACATTAATCCCTGTCTTTAATTCTTTGCTTTTCCCCTTGGAGTTCCATGGAATAATCGTTCTCATCCCCCTCCTCCTTTTAACTTTTGAGCCCCTTGGCTTTAACCCCATCTCTAAGCAAACAACTTCCAAACGTACAGCTCTGTACTTCAGTCCATTTCATGAAGCTTCAGACTGAAATATCCAACCACTTATTTGACATCCCAATTATGCGGCCAGTTGTAAACGTTGTTTGCTTCCTCCATTACCTGTGTAATAACCTGCTCCTCACTTCATTTTTTCCATCTCAGTAAATTGCAGCATCATCTACCCAGTTGTTTAAGCCCCAGGCTTAGGAGTCATTTTTAATTCTACTCTGGGTGTCATCTCACATATCAAAACTATTTAATAGATCTTGTCTACTCTTCTCCCAAATGGATCATGAAGTTACCCGCTCTCTCCATTTCCACTGCCTTGACCCCATTTGAAGCCACCAACATCTTTTGTCCAAACTATCTGAATAAAATGTGAACTTTTCACTGTGGTAAAATTGTGGCTTGCCCACAGTGACCAGTTTGAATGTGTGGATGTCAAACCACTCCTGCCTCAGGCAAATGCCCCTGTTGTTTTTCTCTCTGGAAAGCTCTTCTCTCAAATCATTTCACGCCTGACTTTGGTTATTAAGGCTAAGTTCAGGTGGCATTTCCTTAGAATAGCCTTTTCTAACTCTCTGATCTGAAATGGTGCATACTTGCCCACCGCCCTTCTCCATTACTCTGTTGTTGTTCTGCTTTCTTTAAAGCACTTAGCCACTAGCCGAAGCTCTCTTTTTTGTATAATTCAACAAATATTTATTGAGCACCTCCTATGTGTCAGGTATTGTTCTAGGTACAGGGTATACCAAAAAGAACAGAACAGACACAAATCCAGGTTCTTGTGGAGCTTGTTGACTTCTTATCATCATCTCCCATTCAGGACGCAGGTTCCATGAGACCTGGGACCTTGTCCATCTGGTTTGCTACTGCGCTTCCAGAGCCTTGAACAGCACCTAGCTACAGTGATTGATAAATCACTGTTGACTTAATGAATGAGTAAATATTGCTGCTCTTCTGTGTAGTCTTTTCTTCCCTGGGCTAAATAATTCAAGTTTCATCAGCCTTCCACAGAAAATAGATTTTAAGTTACTCTTAAAATGGTCTCTCAGGTAAGAACATTTTCTGTTTTGTTAGAATTTCTTCAAAATGTGACACCAAGAATTTAACACATCAAATGTAACTTAATACAGCAAATGTAGTCTAATTATTAATACATAATTAACCCTCTTAATTCACATCACCTGGAATTTCATATATTTAGTTTTAATTAGTGTGACAAATTATCTGTGGTAGAAATTGCATGTGGGAACCACGTCTGTGTCAAGGCCAGGCAGTGCCTTTGGTAACCAGGACCAAGGAATGTCATAGAGGTTCTTGCCAGATTTGCCAGTTTAGCACAGGATATTTATAAAACATTACAGTGTGTTTGGAGAGAATTGTAAGTTGGAAAAGGTTTTCCTGTGTTATCCCTTAACTCCCTTTTTCAGTTAAATCTTTTAACCACAAGAATCAAAGTACCAAAGTGATTCCATTTGTTTTTGTGTTGTAATCATTTTATAATTACAATGGAATTATCTGCTGTATAGAGTGGCATTACGTCTGTAATGTTATTTTCACATATCTTGTCTCTTCTTTTTGAAATTGATAAATAATAGACCTTTTTCTTTTGGACTTGGAGAACTGCTCTGTCACGTGTCTGTGGGTGTGGGTGTGTGTGTGTGTGTATAGGGATATTTTAAGAATAAGATTTGGAAAGTGGAGCCTATTTAATATACTTTGGTGGTCCAGGTCACAGTTACTTGTCTTAATGGAATTAGAAGTATAAAATTTCTGAAGCAGAGGTTTTAAGCCTCTTGTCACCAGTTTTCCACTAGAGGGTGCTCCAAATTTGGCTTTAAAAATCAAAAACTTCGGGGAGCCTGGTGATGGGTATTAAAGAGGGCACGTTCTGCATGGAGCACTGGGTGTTATACGCAAATAATGAATCATGGAACACTACATCAAAAACTAATGATGTAATGTATGGTGATTAACATAACATAATAATAAAAAAAATAAAAAACTTACCATGTGCTAAATGAGAGATACATTCTCTTTCTTTTGAAACAGCATTTCTTTCAGTTATTTTTTCTTAACTTGTCTTTAGTTATTTCATCAGTTTATATCATACAGTTACAATGTTAAGTCTTACTAGGATAAATTATTGTTTTTAATTTTCAAGTTCAGTTTGAATGAGATTAGATTATGTAAGGAAACACCAATTATGTCAAGACAAATGGAAGTATAATGCATTCCTCAACTTCTAAAAATTTGTAATGATTTATTTTTAAATTTTTTGTGTTTAGTCATTTTTTGCTGAAAGTCCATATTTCAAAGAGGTTTTAAGTTACATTAATTACATATATGTTGTAATTAGACTTTGTATAGTTTAGACAACTATTATATATTTAAAGTGAATTTTGAATGTGGTTCATTGCAGGAAATACACTTCAGTACTTGTAATTAAAAATGCCTCGAATAACATGAAGCCCTTCCGTTGTATATTTTTAGATCCATTATGCCTTCAACACAGACTGCGACATGTTAAAATTTTAGATTCTCTTCTGTAACTCTCCAATCTCAGTCTTGGTGGAGCAGTTTTTTTTTAATGATAAATAACATTTCTCCCATTCTTCAAAATAAAATACCTTTTGTCTTCTGATTTGCCAGCCTGAATAGATTTAGTGTCTATGACTCTGCTTTGGGATGAATGTGGTTTTTTAGAATGGTAATCACAGTTCCACTGGTTCATCTATGTCCAGTTCCCTGGTAAGAGAGATGGATCAGAGAGGAAGAAGACACTTAAATTTCATTTTACTGGGTATCTCTTGGGGATTTGCCCCCAACACGCTGTTGCACCTGTAAATTTAGATGAGACACAAAAGGGTCAGACTGATAACTTTAGGAGTGTGTGGAGGAAAATGTTTCACTGCATAGAAAGAATTGTAAAATATATACAACAATAGTGTGCAAAAATGCGAAATGTGAGTCTTGATTCCAGATTTCCCAGAAAATTTTTTGCCTGTATTTATTGGGTTGTGGATACTTTTGCTTGGTTGAAGTATCCTCAGCTTGTCCAGCAGAGGGCGATGTGTGTCCACCATAAATGTGAAAGTCTGGAAATTCCTTTGTCAATTATTGCCATGTGGTCACTTACAACATTGTTTTCCTGAAGCAAATTTGGAGTGAGTGGTGTTTCACTTATTAATGCAGTGATATAGTATTTTCTGGGCAAGAAATTAAAAATTTAAGCTCTACAATGGAATTGGAAAAGGTGATTTTTTTTCAGAGTTGGTGTCCTTTGAGGAAGCTTTTAGAAGTTTATCCAGGGTAATTTGATTGTGGTAGGGCTCAAATAGAACATGACTGAGTTTATCTCAACTCTCAGGAAAGTTTTTTGTGTTTTTGTTTTTTGTTTTTTCATTTTTTAAAATTTGAGGGGGAAAAAAACAGGACTAGTATACCTGAAAAACTTTGTTGTTTATGATAAAGGGACTTTACAATAGGATGAACATTTATTTTTATTTTTTTTTAAAGATTTTATTTATTTATTTGACAGAGAGAGACACAGCGAGAGAGGGAACACAAGCAGGGGGAGCGGGAGAGGGAGAAGCAGGCTTCCCGCTGAGCAGGAAGCCCGATGGTGGGGCTTGATCCCATTACCCTAGGATCATGACCTGAGCCGAAGGCAGACGCTTAACGACTGAGCCACCCAGGCTCCCCTAGGTTGAACATTTAATATTAGTATATAAATAACGGAAAAACATTCACAAGTGGAAACTAGGAGCTAGGTCTCTGTAGTAAATGGAAAGTTCACTGTAGATCCTAAGGATGGCTCTTCCAGTCTGGAGTTGCACATTTGTGTAGTGAGAGGAGTGGTGGTTTTTTGTCTGTCTCAGCACTTCAGAGTAATAAATACTCTCTGAATCTTTTGTCTGAAAGCTTGAAGTTAAGAAAGTCATTGTTAGCCTAGTTGGGCACTTTTCTTCTTTATCATTCTTTAATTTTATATGAAGTTGATTCACTTCCTTTTTTAATTTTGAGGAACAGTCTCACATAGAGTTAATATTCAGGCTCTAAAGTAAAAAGTCTGGGTTCAGATTGCCTCTCCACCATTGGGTTACTTTGGGTAAGTT